GTCAACTCCAGCTCCTCTCATGCTGTTATCAGACTTTCAGCCCCTGTAATAACAGAGAGGAGTGAAGATGATGAAAATCATAATGGCTTACACTTATGGAGCATGTGCGTGTGCCAGGCACTGAAATGAAGACTTGGCATGCATGCACTCATTTGCTTCTTACAATGACACTGAGAGGCGAGGACTACCTCCACTGCCCTGAGGCACAGAGAGGAAAGGCGACTTGCCTGGGGTCACACAGCCATGACAGTAGACGTTCAAGCAATGTCTGTCCCTCGGCGGAGGGGGGGTCCTAACTTCTGAAAGCACACGCTGAGTGGCCTGGCTAGATAGACGAGGCAGGACCTTATCCTGAACAAATGGCAAATATCCCTGATGGTTTGTGACTGGCCTGTCCCCTCCTTCAGGCAGGGTTTGTATTAATTAGCCATGGCTGCTATAACAAAAGCCAAAAACTTAGTAGCTTAAAATAATGCGAATTTAATATCTTACAGTTCGGAGGTCAGAAGTCTAAAATGAGTTCTTATGGTGCTAAAACCAAAGAATCTTCAGGGCCGTGTTCTTTCCAGGAGGCTCCAAGAGAATTTATTCATTGTCTTTTCCAGCTTTTAGAGGTCACCTGCATTCCCTGGCTCGTGGACCCTTCCTCCATCATCAAAGCCAGCAGTGTCTGATCGCATGCTTCTCACAACACATCACGTCACATCACGTCACATCACCTCTCTCTCTCTCTGCTTCTCACATCACATCACCTCTTTCCCCCTTCCCATCTCCTCCCTTCCCCATCCCCCCTTTTCTCTCCCCACCCGACTTTCTTCCCGTCCCCTCCCCTCCCTTCCCCATTTCCCCTTTTCTCTCCCCACCCCACTTCCTTCCCCTCCCCTCCCCCACCTTCCTCTTCTGCCTCCCTCTTTCACATCTAAGGACCCGTGATATTGGACCTACCTCGTGAATTCAAGATACTCTCACTACTTAAGATCAGCTGATGAGCACCCTTAATCTATCTACAACCTTAATTCCCCTTCCCCATGTCAAGTAACACGTGCAAGTTGAGGAACTAGCAGGCAGACATCTTTCAGAGGCCAATATTCTGCCTCCCACAGGGCTTCCCCTTTTCTTGCTCCATTTTGCAGGACAAACCCAACTCCCTCTTCTGAAGGACATTTCAAGAAAGAGCCAGGCCTTGGTGACATCTAAAAAGGTAAGAGCTAGCTATGATCACATCCACCAATCTGGGGTTTGGGGACTTCCTTCTACCAAAACAGTGCAGAGAGATATGCTCAATCTAATTTTGCTGCTGCTGATGATGATGGGTGCGGTGACATATTAGGTAGAGCAGGACCAAGTTCTGTGGGCTTTACAGAAATGAACTCTGGGTGGACCAGAAATCTTCCTCCTGTGGCTTCCTGTGCTACTCCTCCTCACCCACAGCCCAGTGCAGCCACCAGCCCCGCTTCTAGATGATCTTACCAAGCCAGCATTCACTACCCATGCCAAAGTCTCCATGTCTTTGGGTCCAAATTCTCAGGAAAGAGAGAGAGCAAATTCGATTGGTTCATCTCAGCCTATGGGGGAAGCCCTCTTGGGGTAGGTGTCCTTCCTTTGCCTGATTGGACAAAGAATATCTTGGTCCTATCTGATTGGCTGGGGCCAGGAGGAGCAGGTGTAGTGGATATAAATACCATCTGTGATAGGCAGAATAATGCTCCCCAACACCCCTCCCCCCTCAGCTCAGCAAAGATGCTCATGCAACCCGTAAATATGGAAATATGTTCCTTTGCTTGGCAAAAGGGGCCACAAGTCAAGGGATGCAGAAGGCCTCTAGGAGCTGGAGAGGACACGGACACGCATTCTCCCCTAGAGCCTCCAGAAAATCCCAGTCCTGCCAACACCTTGACTTAGCCCTATGAGACAGCTTTTAGACTTCTGGCCTCCAGAACTGTAAGATAATGAATTTCCATTATTTTAAGCTTCTGCATTGGTGTTATTTGTTACCGCAGCCATAAGAAACTCACACGTGGTCACTGTGGCTCATCCCTTGATCAGAAAAATGTGGCAGAAGACACACTCAGAAGAGAGTCTGGGTAGGACATTTCTACATAGGCCTCGAGTTCCAGACTTCCCGGATGCTGGGAAGATGGGAGATGGTTACTGTCCCTGATTAGCTGAGGTCAAGTGTCCATACCGGGGAGGGACACTGGGGACTAGAAGACAGTGGCACTAAGCCAGCCAAAAGGTGTCTGGGACTTTACAAAAAGCTCAGTGGACACCCTGGGGAAGGGGCTGACGGGGCTGAACACTGGGCGGAGGGAAAGGTCCTACAACCCGGGCAAAGTGGCCATGTGACAGAAGGCACTGAGCTGCAGAAACAGCACTGGACTGTGAGTCCACACTGAGCCTGGCAGGGCCATTCACTGGTTGTGAGGGCTCAGGTGGGGCTCTCCCCTCCGCTGGGTCTCAGTTCCTCTATGTAAAATGGGGAATCCGCACTAGGTCACTAAATCAAGCCTTCTTTTTTTTTTTTTTTTTAAAGATTTTGAACAGCAGACTCCTGTATTCTCACTAAATCTTTCTTGTGTAACTTGGGAAAAAAAACTGCTAAGACGGTCATCATGGCTGGGCACAGTGGCTCATACCTGTAAGCCCAGCACTTTGGGAGGCAGATGTGGGCAGATCACTTGAGGCCAGGAGTTCAAGACCAGCCTGGCCAACATGGGGAAACCCCATCTCTACTAAAAACACAAATATTAACCAGGTATGGTGGTGGGCAACTGTAATCCCAGCTACTCAGGAGGCTGAGGATCAAGAATTGCTCGAACCTAGGAGGTGGAGGCTGCAGTGAGCCAAGATCTCACCACTGCACTCCAGCCTGACCTACAGAGCAAGACTGTCTCAAAAAAATAATAATCATAATCATAATAACAGCGAGCATTTGAGTAGGACTCACTTTATGACAGGCGCCCTTCTAAGAGCTTATCAATGTAAATGGATAAACTCACAACAAATCAATAGATATTTGTTATCTTCAGGTCACAGACAAAAAAAAAATTAAGGCACAGAGAGGTTAAGAAATTTGCTCAAGGCCACCCAGCAGGGAATTGGCAAATTCTTGATTTGAACCTGTATACTCAGGATCCAGAGAGAACTGAGAGGAAGAGGGATAAGTTAAGGGAGATTTAACCAGAGAGGCTGTCCAGACAGATTAGAAACAGCTGAGAGAGGTGGGGAGTCAGCTGGGGGACAGGAGAAACAGGAGCTGGAAAGGTAATTCTGAAATCTCTTCTAAGGGCACCATTGGAGCAGCTGTGGGGTGTGAGGAACGGAGGAGTCGGGGGAAGGAGGGAAGCTTCTCTGTAAACGGCAGGCGCTCCGGGATCTCTTTGAGTGGCTCTGTGCGGACACTGGACCACACTGGGCCACAGTGTTTATTGGGGTTATGCTTACCATCTTAAGATAGAAACAGAGCAGAGTGCAGCTGCCGTGGCTGAGGCACAGGTAGCAGGTCCAGGGGTCGTCCTTTTGTCCTCCCTGTTGTTACCGCCCAGGCCAGGCCCCACGATCATTTCTGGAGAGACCTAGGGCTTCAAGCAATACCATTTGAAAACCGCGACACCAAACGGACCTCCGTTCAGTCAGTTCTCTGCTCTGCCTGGATTTGTGCCCACTGCCAAGGTTGCAGAGAGCACACCTAGGCCAGCAGCCCCTGTCATCCCCTCGCAGGCAGCTGTGGAAGGCTCACTCTCTAATCTCCCTCGCTTCTGGATGCCCACATCAAAACTCAAGTGTCCGATAAGTGATGGTTCTTTTTTTTTTTTTCTTTGAGACGGAGTCTCGCTCTGTCACCCAGGCTGGAGTGCAATGGCGCAGTCTCGGCTCACTGCAACCTCCACCTCCTGGGTTTAAGCGATTCTCTGGCCTCAGCCTCCTGAGTAGCTGGGACTACAGGCACCTACCACCATGCCCAGCTGATTTTTGCATTTTTAGTAGAGACAGGGTTTCACTATGTTGGCCAGGCTGGTCTCGAACCCCTGACCTTGTGATCCACCTGCCTCAGCCTCCCAAAGTGCTGAGATTACATGCATGAGCCACCATGCCCAACCTAAGTGATGGTTCTAACCAGCAAGGTGACCTTGAGCAAGCCTCCTCTCAGACACCCAGGGCCTCGACTATCAAATGCAGTGATGAATATAACTTACATTCAGAAGCCAAGAAACTGGGCTTCAAAACCTCCTCAGAAGATGAAGAAGAGTCAACGTATAGTGAGCATCTAGGATGCTGGTTTTGCATCGGCAGCCATCACCGATTTCACTGTCCTCATTTAACTGAGAAACTCAAGGCCCAGAGAGGTGACGTGATTGACCAAGGACACACAGCCAAGCAGTGCAGAGTCCAAGTTCACACCCAGCCCTGGACTGATGCCTCTTCCTCTTCACCCAGCCAACCAGCCAACCATCAGGAGCTTGCACTGACGGTTCTGATTTGTCCTTCCCTGAACCCTCTCTCCTTCCCATGTTTTACAGATAAGACAACTGAGGCTCAGAAGCACTAACTCACCTGCCCAAGGTCACGCAGCCTGTCACATAGGAGCTGGGATCAGGTATGTATGTGAATCCCAAGCTCACACCTCTTCCTATTCCTGTTCTGTAATGTAGCACCCCCCCCGCCTGACTCCCACCCTGGGCTCAGAGGTTAGGCTTCTGTCTGAACCTGTCCCAGGCCTGGGCTGCTTAAAAGCAGCAAAAAGTTCCTCCTGCCACTCCAACTTGAGCTTGTCATCATCATCAGCGCACCCCGAGAGCCTCTGGGGTGCCTGGGGACAGGTAGCTGTGAATGCCCGGCCCCGGGTTGCCCTCTGCCCCTCCCGAGTTGTACTCCTCCGTGGCAGGGGAGGGAGGACAGCTCCCCTTGCCTCCTAGGTGGTTGGCAGAGCAGCCGCCGCTGCTGCTCCTTCCTGCTGCCGGCTGATGGAGAGATTATTTCTAAGCCCTTCCCATTCCCCCCCCCCACTGACTTCTCTGGCAGGACCACATTGGCTGTCCCTGTCGGACCTGAAGTGCAGAGTCGATTGCTAAAGCAGCACAGCTGCCCTGGCTCCCTCCCAGCAAGAACCCCCAGACCCTCCTCTCTCAAAAGGAAAGGGACTTCTGGGTCCTTTTAAAAAAAAATTCCACCTCCCTCCCCCAGGGCTCTTCTGCAGCTGCTAGAGAGAGAGATGCAGAATGAATGAACTTCTGGCTTGTGGAGGAGGCACGGGAAGGAAGATTGGAGGGTAACTGCCAGAAACTGCTGTTTGTGGGATTTTTTTCCTTCGCCTTTCTCTCCACGACAAACCTGTCCTTTCTGGGCACCAACACATGGGCTCCCCTTGCTGGGCAGAGAAGCAGCTGGAAACAGTTTCCCTGAGACGAGAGGGTAAGTTAAACTTGAGGGGAAGAGTTAGCGCTTGCTGCGGGGCGTTGCAGGGTGGGGTGGGGGCTGAGGGTTTAAACCTCCTGGGCAAAATGCTGTTTTGAGTGAATTCCTTTCCCATGATCTGGAAGGGGCTGTTTGCCAGCTGTTTGGAAAGCTGTAGACTGCAAAACTGGGTTTATTCCGTGAATGCAAAAAGGGCAGTTTTCACATTCTGGAAGGAGCCCAGGCTGGGGGACAGAGTGCTGGGCTGGATTTGGACTTGCTGTGTGACCTTGGACAAGTTACTTCAGCTCTCTGGGTCTTGGTTTTTGTACCGGGAAAATGAGGAAGCTTGCAAAGCGCTCCGCAGATTTCAAAATACTCCTGTCTCTGCAGGCTCCTCATCCTCCTCTGGCCATCCTCTGTGAGTGAAGTAACACAGGCAGAACCACAGAAGGTTGTGTGGGACAAGAGGGTGCAGCAGGCTGCGATTCACTCTCCGCTATCCCCCAGAATCCAGCCGGCTCTGAAACGGAGAGGACTTTGATTTCCATCCAGCTGCCGGGTTTTTCTTTTGATTGGAGTGGAGTGCCTCTGAAATGTAAGCTCACAGGCGCTTTGGAAATGGCTCGGGCTAGAAGGAATAGCGTAGAAACGGTTGTAGAACCTTTAAGGGACAACTACTGTGGAACGGGCTTTTTAAATGTGTGGATGGGCTAAACCTAAACACTTGTGCTAAGTCAAGCAACTCAAATAGGTCTGAAATGGAGGCAGGAGTAGAGGCCCCTTTATTTCTTTTGTCTTTTTGAGACGGAGTCTTGCTCTTGGTGCCCAGGCTGGAGTGCAGTGGTGCAATCTCGGCTCACTGCAACCTCTGCCTCCCAGGTTCAAGTGATTCTCCTGCCTCAGCCTCCCGAGGAAGTGGGACTACAGGCATGTGCCACCACACCCAGCTAATTTTTGTATTTTTAGTAGAGACGGAGTTTCATTGGCCAGGCTGGTCTCAAACTTCTGACCTCAGATGATCCCAGAGTTCTGGGATCATAAGCATGAGCCATGGCACATCGAGCCTCCTTCATTCTGCAGATAAAAGACCACAGGCCCAGAGAGGGGGAGTAACTAGCCAGAGGTCACACAGCAAGGCTGGCTGAGGCAACTGCAATGAACATGGAGGAGTTCTGTGATTGCAAGTATGTGATGCTCCTCCATCCTCCTAGCAGAGTCCTCCCCAAATGAGGAAGCACACAGAGGGATTAAGTGGGACTGGCAGAGTTCCTCCTGAGACCTAGATGCTTAGATGCTGTGCTAAGGACAGCCACATTCCTGGTCTCCCCAAACCTTTAATAACAGACCCTGGCTGAACCTTCTTGGTGCCAGGTGCTTGCTAAACAGTAGGCAAGACATGCAAGCTGTCTGTGCCTCGGCCTCCTCATCTGTCAAATGGAGATCTTATGTCTATCTCATGAAGTTGTTGGGGTGAATTAGGGGAAGCCAGGCATGTCAGAAGCATCTAGAAGTGTTATTAATACACACTTGCTTGTATATTACTGCATAAAACCCTCGCCATGGTCCACAATGTGGGCACTCAAACTGCCCCAGTCACAGAGATAAAGCAAAGAACTCAGACTGAGTAACCCACCTGCACTGGCAGTCTGGAATTGGTCCCTGCCAGTGAACTTGAAAGCCTACACTCCTAAGCCCAATTTTTACCACCTGTACCTTGCAAGATTGGCACGAGTCTTGTCATTTGAATGAATGATGCTGCGATCAGAGAGGTTAAGCCCCATATCTGAGATCACACAGCCCAGAAGTGGCACCACTCTGACTTGTCCAGCTCAGGACTGAATTACTCAAGTCCCATTCCATGCAATGTCTGTTCTGGATACATTCTTCTGAGATATCAGTAGATGCTCCACCAGGGGAGGGTCTGGTTCACTGATGTATCCCAAGCACATAGTAGGTGCCCAAAAATATGTGTTGAACTAAAGGTTAAAAGAATGAGCCGGGTGCAGTGGCTCACACTTGTAATTCCAGCACTGTGGGAGGCCAAGGCAGGTGGATCACAAAGTCAAGAGTTCAAGACCATCCTGGCCAACACGGTGAAACCCCATCTCTACTAAAAATACAAAAATTAGCTGGGCATGGTGGCGCGCCTTTAGACCAAGCTACTCAGAAAGCTGAGGCAGAAGAACCACTTGAACCAGGAGGCAGAGGTTGCAGTGAGGTAAGATCGTGCCACTGCACTCAAGCCTGGTGAGAGAGCGAGACTCCATCTTAAAAAAAAAAAAAAAAAAAAAAAAAAAAGAGCCAGGCAGATGCAGGTGCAGGAAAGCAAGTTTAAGAACATCTGCATTTGTGACATCCAGGACCCTTTGCCCCAAGACTGATTTCCCCTCCTTTTTCTTGCTCTTTGTCCCTTGGGTGGCAGACTGGTGAACCCAGTGCTTCCCAGCTGGGCGGTCTTCAGCGATGCCCATGCCTTCCAGAGAGCCGGGCCTGCATCCCAGATACCACCACTATGCTTCCCACAGCCCTTGGAGTCAGCTCCTGTCCAGCCCCATGGAGACGCCATCCATCAAGGGCCTTTACTACCGCAGGGTGCGGAAGGTGGGCGCCCTGGACGCCTCCCCGGTGGACCTGAAGAAGGAGATCCTGATCAACGTGGGGGGCAGGAGGTATCTCCTCCCCTGGAGCACACTGGATCAGTTCCCGCTGAGCCGCCTGAGCAAACTCCGGCTCTGCCGCAGCTACGAGGAGATCGCGCAGCTCTGCGACGATTACGACGAGGACAGCCAGGAGTTCTTCTTCGACAGGAGCCCCAGTGCCTTCGGGGTGATCGTGAGCTTCCTGGCGGCCGGGAAGCTGGTGCTCCTGCAGGAGATGTGCGCGCTGTCCTTCCAGGAGGAGCTGGCCTACTGGGGCATCGAGGAGGCCCACCTGGAGAGGTGCTGCCTGCGGAAGCTGCTGAGGAAGCTGGAGGAGCTGGAGGAGCTGGCCAAGCTGCACCGGGAGGAGGCTTTGCAGCAGCAGAGGGGGGCCCACCGTCCCACCTCGCAGTCCTCGCGCTGGGGCCTCTGCATGAACCGGCTGCGCGAGATGGTGGAAAACCCGCAGTCCGGGCTGCCCGGGAAGGTCTTCGCTTGCCTCTCCATCCTCTTCGTGGCCACCACTGCCGTCAGCCTGTGCGTCAGCACCATGCCCGACCTCAGGGCAGAGGAGGACAAGGTGAGTGTCCTCTGATGGGGCCCCATGGCTCCATCTGCCAGGGTGCCTGGGCTGAGATGTCTTTTCTGGGCCCACGAAAACGTCTTCATGTTTTAAAATAAGAAGAAAAAAATGAATATTATCCAATGTGGATTATATTCATTTTAGACCATCAGTCAAAAAAGATCACTTTTAATTTTTTTTGTCCTACAAAGGCTAAAGGGCCTAAGGCTCATCGGGGGAGTCACTCTGTGGCTCTCAGCCACACGTGGACTTGATGGGCCAGACAGACCCAGCCTGGCCTCTCCCAGCTCTTCTGACTCGGTGACTATAGGCAAATTCCTCCCCCCAATCCTCCTCTCTGAGCCTCTCCTGCTCTGTGAAATGAGTAACCTCACCACGAAGGTTCACTTGCCAATGAACTGAACACGTGTTTACCAAACAGCACTGTGCGCTAGGCCCTAGACCAGGTCAAAAACATCAAATCCCTGCCTTGTTGAGCTAACGTTTTCCTGGGCATCCCCACACTATTTTCAGATGAGGAAACTGAGGGACAGGACATTTATTTTCATTGGAGCTGCATAGTAAGGACACCCGTGATGCTAAGGTCCTCAGGCCTCAGTTTCCCTGCAGTGCTCAGTGTCCCGCCAGTGTCAGTGAATGGGAAACTCACAGATGAGCTGATTTGTAAGCCACCCTGCCCCAGGGCTTGCCCCCACCTTCATCACCTTTCCAGGGAGTTACAGGAGACCCCGAGACACCCTGCCTCCACCCAGGGACCAGATGGCCTGAGAAGCGAAGTAAGAGCCTAGCACTTTACAGAGAGCGTTATTGGAAAGCTTCAAACATAGAACTGGATTGTTTCCTGATTTAAAACATCACTCCTCTCCTGCATCAAGCTCCTCCAGGGCTCCCCATCATCCTAACGTCTGGAGCTCACCTTATAATCAGCAGAGAGAGAAGCTAAACACATATATAAGATGGTGCATGCTCTATTTGGCTCATGACAGTTGCCAGCCCAGCTAAGTTCCCTTCCCTTCAAGATAGGCCCCAGGGCAAGACAACAGGATTGGAGAACTTGCAGGATAGAAAGGACTTCAGTGGAGAAGCGGCCCACGCCTCACACACAGTAGGGTCCCAATAAGTACAGGTGGGATAAAATGTGCCTTGTCCAACCTACAAACGTTTTGCCCTAAAGAAAAAAGCCTACGAAATATCTGGACCTTTAAACAGCTTGTTTTCTCATGGAGAAGACAGAAAGTCCTATCACAGGCATGTTTTCATTCTATAGCATAAAAGCATGTGATTTCAGAGCCTGCTCGTTCACGGAATATTTACATACAGACTCTGCAGCAAAACGATGACAAAACAAGCAACTTCCCGACCCCATTTCTTAAGGATGCCCCAATCCCGGTTAATAAAGGCTGAGACCTACTGAGCTGCACTCTCATATGGATAGGCATTCAAAGTCACAGGATGAGCTAGGAGGTCAGCACAAGATACAGGTCGTAAAGACCTTGGTGATAAAACAGTTTGCAGTGAAGAAATCGGCTAAAACCTGCCAAATTAAGACGGCCACAAGAGCGAACACTCCCACCAGTGCCATGACAGTTTACAAATGCCATAACAATGTCAGGAAGTTACCCTCTCTGGTCTAAAAAAAAAAGAAAAAAGGCAGGCCCCCGGATGCCCACAAGACTGCTCCTCTTAGGGATTTCCAGAGAGGGGATAAATTGCGAAGGCGCCAGGGTTTCGGTTGTGCAGAGAGCCAAGATCTTTTCAAAATCTAATGCTTTGAAAATTACAAAGGGCATGAACCCAGGCCCGGCTTAACGGTGACTTGGAAAATGAAATTAGAGGTGGGAGGTGGGCCTGCAGACCTGGGCAGCCCAAAGTTTCAGCCAAGGATCACGTAGCCAGCCACGTTTCCTCCTGGGATGAGAGAGATTTATGCCCAGGCTCAGCCACGATATCCTTATGCTTTCTCCTTAGTGAAAGCGCCTTTGTGTGTGCGGCCCCGAGACAGACGGAGGTGCAGCCCGGAGAGTGTGTTCCTGTTTAGATAATAATTCAGAGAGCAGGGAGGCTGAGGATGGGGCAGTCTTTGTTCTTCCAAGACTGTGACCTTCCGTTTACGTAAGAGGATGATGTCCTCTTCCTGGACACACGTGCTCTGTATTCCATATTTCCCCTCAGGGAATGTCAGTCTGAGAGGGGCCAGCTGCTTCTGGACACAGGCAGTGCCAGCTGGGTGTGGGGCCAGCGTCCTGTGACCCTGAAGGCATCCATGCAGATGACTTAATGACACAATGGTAGGCTGTGGAGACAGACCCCAGAGCTATAACCCACAGAACTCCTCCGTCAGAAACGGAAGCAACGGGTGGGCATTGGTAGGAAGCAGTTTTCCATTTTCTTTTTCTATCTTCTCATAGCAATGTCCCTTGGAGTAAATCTGACAGTGGGGTAAAAGGTCTGTGCCAAGATTGCAAATTACAATGGAGGCCAAGCGCTGTGGTTCATGCCTGTAAGTCCAGCCGTCTGGGAGGCCAAGGCGAGTGGATCACCTGAAGTCAGGAGTTCGAGACCAGCCTGACCAACGTGACGAAACCCCCTCTCTACTAAAAAAATACAAAAAATTAGCCAGGCATGGTGACAGGCACCTGTAATCCCAGCTACTGGGGAGGCTGAGGCAGGAAAATCACTTGAACTCATAGGTGAAGGTTGCAGTGAGCCAAGATCATGCCACTGCAGTCCAGCCTGGGCAACAGGAGCAAAAGTGCATCTCAAAAAAAATTACAATGGAGAGGGGAAGAGGCAGTGTAGACAGGAAGGACCAAGCCAGTGCCTGACTTCTTCTAAGGGGCATCGGATTTTAAGGTTGTGGATTTCCCTGGGGGACTTATTGCCAAAAGGATGAAAGAACCAACGATTCCTAAGTGCCCCCCAGGAGGCTGGTATTTCACATCATGGACTGACTTCATCCCTGTGACAGCATGGGGAAGTATCCCTCCTACCTGCATTTTACAGATGAGGAAACTGAGGCTCAGGGAAGCTTTTTTAATCACTTTCTTAAGCTCACAGTAAGTGGCAGAGCTGAGATTTGAACTCACCTTGGATTGGCTCTAAAATCCGACCCCATATGACCACACGACACTGATACCATCTTTTTTTCCTTCCTTCCTTTCTTCCTCCTCTCCTTTTCTTCTTTCCTTCTCTCTCTCTTTCTTTCTCTCTCCCTCCCTCCCTCTCTCTCTCTTTCTTTTTTTAAATTTGAGACAGAGTCTCAGTTTTTCACCCAGGCTAGCGTGCAGTGGCATAATCTTGGCAGCTCACTGCAGCCTCGATCTCCTGGGCTCAAACGATTCTCCCACCTTAGCCCCCAGGTAGCTGGGACTACAGGTGTGCATCATCACACCCAGCTAGTTTTTTGTATTTTTCTAAGAGACAGGGTTTCCCCATGTTGCCCAGGCTGATCTCGAACTCCTGAGTTCAAGCAATCCACCTACCTTGGCCTCCCAAAGTGCTAGGATTACAGGCGTGAGCCACCATGCCCACCCTATCTTTCGATTCTGGAACATTTCACCTCGGTCTAGAACCTCAGCCTCGGTGTCACTTTGTGTTTCTGAGGCAGCCGGACTTCGTAAAACAGCTCTCAGGCCAACATAATGGAGCAGGGGGCAGACACCCTGGCTGAATCTTGGCCTCACCCATGACTAATGCAGTGTTCTTGGTAAAGTCACTTAACCTCCCTGGGCCTCAGTTTCCTAATATGTGAAAAGGGGGTGCTCTAAGTGCTTCCCTCAAAGGGTCATGTGATACATAAAGAGCTGGAACAGTGCCGACACACAGAGGTGCTCGGTGAACATCCCTCATTGTGATCATCATTCATTCATTCATTCATTCATTCATTTGGTAGCAGTTAACAGGAAACCAAACATTTATCCTTTCCAAAATTCCTTCAGCACCAGTCACTGAATTTCATTCTTCTGGGTGCTGGAGAAAATACACATTTCTTACTTTCTTACTTCCTTGGAGCTTAGATTCTGAGCAGCCCTGCTTTTTTTGTTGTTTTTTTAGACAGGGTCTCACTCTGTCACCTAAGCTGGAGTAGCGGCCCAATCTCAGCTTACTGCAACCTCTGCCTCCCAGACTCACGTGATCCTCCCACCTCAGCCTCCTGAGTAGCTGGGACCGCAGGCACACATCATCATGTTGGCTAGGCTGGTCTCAAACTCCTCAGCTCAAGTGATTTTTCCCACCTCGGCCTCCCAAAGTGCTAGGATTACAGGCATGAGCCACCACACTGCAGCCCCCTGCTCTATTTTTCTGAGTTAACATTCACATAACATGAAATTGACCATCTTAAAGGGAACACAGTAGGGGCGTTTAGTATAATCACAATCTTCTGCAGCCACCACCTCCTCTATCTAGTTCCAAAACTTTTTCTCAGCACTACAGAAGAAAACCCTGTGTCACCTAGGCAATCTCTCCTCCTTCCTCTCCGGCTAGCCCCTGGCAACCACCCGTCTGCTTTCTTGCTCCATGAATGAGCCTACTCTGGACATTTCATAGAAATGGAGTCAGACCAGGAGTTGTCTTCTGGGGCTGGCTTCCTGCTTTCAGTATCATGACTTCAAGGTCCACACACACTGCGCCATGTGTCAGACCTCTGTTCCCCTGCATGGCCGAACACTGTTCCACCGTATGTGGATGTCACTATTGGTTTATCCATCTAGCACAGCTGGTCTGTTCCATGTTGACAGCTGAAGACAGAAAGACACACTCCATAGACCGACCCCCACCTCCAAGGGACAAGATGGGTTTGAGAAACAAAGCGAGGATTCTGTTCCCTCAGCTGCCACACAGGCCCCTTTCAATAGGCAGGATTCGAGACCTAGTCCTGACCCTCTTTTTTTTTTTGAGACTGAGTTTTGCTCTTGTCACCCAGACTGGAGTGCAGTGGCGCAATCTTGGCTCACTGCAACCACTGCCTCCTGGGTTCAAGCAATTCTCTTGCCTCA